CTGAATTATCTCTCTCAGTTTCTTGCAGCCACATATAATATGTTCCACATCATATATTGCTTCACATCCCCTAGGACAATTAGTATTCTATATTAGTATTCTATAGTATAGAAGTTGGAGAGAGAATAGCATTCCTATTCAATCTCCACCAGAAAACCTCCACCCGTGCATTCAATTTCGCCTTTCTGATCCAATTCCAGTTTAGATCATTCACGAACTCAAAAGCATTAGATTTACTGATTAGACTCAGGATGGTCATTCTAGAATTTTGATTTATCGGTTTCTTGTAATCTTCATTCCTATCCTGAGTTATTTTAATTTGTGTGATCAAATTGATAAGGTCCCTACCAAAGTATTTACTCAGCTCTAGTTCATTCCATTGAGCATCCTGAATAAACTCTTTTACATGAACAGAGCTGTCATCAAACGGGATGATGAATGTAGGCCATTTGTTTATACATTTGTCCAGAATCCATGTATCTTCAAGAGCATTCACAGACTCTCCATTTACTATCTTCCATCTTACAATTGGCTTGACCATTTTATAACCTTCTCTCAGTAATTTAAAGGCTGTAGAAAAACAACCTCTACTATTACCTTTCTCCAGATTTACACCGTATTTTGAAGCTATAACCATGTGTAATAATGATTGATTATCATGTATAAATCTCCAAGATAATCTAACTCTTAAAGCAGAAGTCTTAGTAGTGTTTGAATGTAATCTGCGGCCGCCATATTCAATTGGTTTGCACATATCAGACCAGCTTACATAATGCATCCCCATTGAGCCATCCTTCTTAATCCAAAAGAATTTTCTGCATAATCTGTCAAGTTCTTCTAGCACCTTTTTAGGCACTAATGAGTGAGTTACGTGAAAGGTAGGGATAGCTAGCAAAACTAACTTTATCAAAATAAGTTTTCCCGGCAATGATAAGCTTTTGCTACCCCATTGATTAAGCTTTCTCAAAGCATTATCAATGATGAATTTAAAATCATCTCTCCTCAGTCTTCTCAATGCTAACTTCAAACCGAGATAATTGAACTCATTAACAAGTTTAAAGCCCATAATTCTTGAGACACTTCTCTTCTTTCTCCTCTTCACATGTTTCCCAAACATAGTCATGGATTTATTATAGTTTATCCTCTGCCCAGTCCATTCACAAAAATTGTGAAGGATTTTCTTCACTCCCAAAACCTCTTGCCTATTAGCTCTGGAAAATATGATCACATCGTCTGCGTACAATAAATGGGAAATTTTTGGACCTTCTGGATTAATCTTGATACCACAGGAGCTCTGATGAAAGGCATTTAAGAGAAGTTGTGAGCAAAGTATAAAAGGATGGGAGATAATGTACATCCTTGCCAAAATTTGCTTCTAGCTTGAATCCAACTCAAACAATTGCCATTGATGATTATAGAGAACTTGGGATCTTCTACCACTTCATAATTAACTTAGAAGTTTTGGGAGGAAAGTTAAATTACTCCAATACTTTCTTTAGAGAAGACCAAGCCATGGAATCATAGGCTTGCTCCATATCTACTTTGAAGGATACAAGACCTTTAGAAGCTTTTGAGAACCGTAGCTTGTGAAATACTTCTTGTGCAACCAATATATGATCAGATAAGGATCTCCCCTTAATGAAGGTTGCTTTCTCCATAGAAATAAGTTTAGGAATTACCATATTTAGTCTATTCAAAATTATCCTTGCCGCCACCTTATAAACTGTGTTGCATAGACTTATTAGTCTATAATTGGATGGAAGAATGGGATTAGAAACTTTGGGGTTAAGAACTATTAGAGTTTCTTTCCATTCCTTGTTAAGCTCTCCAAGGCTAAAGAAATAGCTAATAGCCTTCCAAAAGTCTTCTTTAATAATTTCCCAATAAACTTTAATAAAAGTATGACAGATCTCATCATTACCTAGTGAAGTGTTTCCTCCCAGTTGTTGTACAACTTCTTCTACTTCAGCCATGGATAATTCAGAATCTAGAAAATTCATGTCCCAAGAATTCAAGCTGTTGGTAGTTGTCGGCCACCCTTCCAGGTTGCTCCTTCTAGCTTTGCATTTCTTTTGAAAAAATTGGAGAAAAACTTCCTCCATTTGGCATTGATCTTCCACCAACAACCCATTTTCATCTTTGACTTTAATTATCTTGTTAGAGTTTCTTCTAGTACTAGCATAAGAATGAAAGAACTTAGAATTACCATCCCCTTCATTTAACCATTTCACTTTGGCCCTTTGCTTCCACCACGTGTTGAGTCTTGCCATGTTAGTGTTTAGTTCCATCACCTTAGCTTTGAGATTCCAGTAATCTTGCTCAGATAGGCTCCCTAAGGATGACTCTTTGCATTGAAGAACCAAGATCTCATTCATGAGATTGACTTTTAGTTTATTTAGCTCCTTATGCTTCGACTTTCTCCAATAGAACAATGATTTCAGGGACTTTTTAATTTTTTTGTTGAGAATTTGAGAGAAGTTACCTTGATAATTCTTGCACCATTCCTTCCTTACCACCCCAAATGAAGCTTTATAAGATGCCCAATAATTCTCATATTTGATGATCCTACTAGGATTTGAGTTGAAGTTTTTGAATTGTAATAAGATTGGATAATGGTCCGAGGGTATTCTAGCCAAATGCCTTTCTACCAATTAAAAAGTAGAGCTTAAAGCAGCAGTGTTGACAAAACACCTATCCAATCTTTCAAGGATCCTAGCACCTCCCACTTTATTGTTGCACCATGTAAATTTAGGACCGATGCACCCAACTTCATGCAAATCATTGTTGAGCAAGCATTCCTCCATCTCCCTTGATCCTTGAGAATAGATGAATCTTCTTCCTCCCAATTTATCTTCTTTACACATTAAACAATTAAAGTCTCCACTAACTGCCGTTGGAAGATCAATATTGGAATACATATCTAACATCTTCCATAATTCCCTTCTCTTACGCACCTCTGTACTTCCATATATCATGGCAACCTTCCACTTTTCATTATTGAGAACTTTTAGTTCTCCAATTACCATCTTTGGAGAGCAGTCTTCCATCGTGAACATTGTTGTATTAGAATTCCAAAGAAGAATGATGCCTCCAGAAAGCCCTGAGGACGGAACATATAAGGAGTCTCAATTGCTCCCAATCATGCCATCAATTACACTTCTATCAGTTTCACTTAATTTGGTTTCAACTAAACCAATAAAACACACCCCATTATTTTTAACAAACTCCTTAAGGTATAAGGAAGCATTCCTCTTTCTTGCTCCCCTACAATTCCAAAAAGTATTAGAATACATTAAAAAGGATTATGGGGATTACTCCACAAGGTACCTTTCCCTTCAAGCTCCAATCTTCGGCTTCTAGTAGATGAATTGATTGGTCCCAATTCCCTTAGCTATTTATGTCTCTTCTTCTTAGAAGGAGGTGCAGATCCCACTTTCCCACTAATCTCAGCAGTATTTGTTTTAGTTAAAACTGAAGCAGGTCCTTCCATACCATCTTTACTTGTTTCCATCTCTATAACTTTATTGACTTCATTTGCAGCCTTTCCTTCTTCCAGAATGACATCAGTAGATGATTCAAGTAGTTCTCCTTCTTCCAAGTCTACAAGTGCATGAAAGCTATTGTTATCAACCATGATAACATATTTCTCCTATAAGCTTCCTCCTTGTGCTTTAGTATCTGTAGAAGCATACATGTTTTGTTGCACTATCATCTGTTCTTCTACAAGTTTGTCTTCTGTTACTTTTCTCCCAATGGAAACATATTGCTTTGATAGAGTCACTTTACTACTTCTATCAATCTGAGCAGATGGTCTTTTGTTCCAATTTTTATTAAAATTCTTCTTTTCATAACTCACCAACATCCAAGGACCATATTCTTCATTATCAACCAATTCTTCTCCTGCCTTATGATTGTCTTCTACAACATTCTTCTCCATCATGTTTTTTGAATGATCCTTGTCCGACTGATTTTCTTTCTCCCTATTCACTATAAAACTCTTGGTATAATCATTTTTGTTATGGCCAATTTTCCCAAAATTAAAGTATAAATTAGGAAGCCTTTCGTATTCTATCTTCTGGAAAAATCTGTCTTCTTCTCCCTCTACCCACACTCCTGTAGGTAGTTTAGCATCCAAATCAATTCGGACACAAACACGTCCAAATTCCCTTCTTGACCATTGGAACATATTACCATAAATTAAGTAAGGCTTCCCCACCATGGAATCTATTCGACATATATTTATTTCATCCCAACAGAATAATGGTAAATTTGGCAATCTAATCCAAATAGGAATAGAAAGCCCTTTAAGAGAATTAGGATCAAACCTTTGAGTCCATCTATCAATTCCAACAATGTTACCATTGACGAACCAGGGACCATTAGTAAAAACTGCTTCCATGTGCTCCATTTCAAAAAAGAACACAAAATCCATCCTTTTCCCAGGACAGTGAGATGAAACTTACCATATTGTTCCCATTGTTTTCTCAACTCATAGATGATTGAAGAGAATGGGACTTCTCCTCCAAATATATTAACCATTAGAGACTTGTTATGCTTTTTGGAATTCTCACAGACTTTCTCCACATGAAGTTTAACAGTTTTACCATCTTTAGCTACACAGTTACAAAAATCTAGGTTAGTAACTTTAATATTTATGCTTTTAGACCATACATTCTGAAAGGATCCAATATTAGGCCTTTTGGGCATTTCCTCAATCACCTCATCACAGCTCCCGAGTTCTCCAGTAATGCATATACGAACTTCTTCCAGATCAGATTTCATCTTACCTTGTTCTACTGTATTTCTCTCCTTCAATTCAGTTCGCACAGGTTCATTAACTTCAGTAGTTTTCTTTAACAGAGAAACTAAATTTACCTCATCTTCAGTCCCCATTCCAGCAACCATATATTTGTTATCAGATATAGCTCTTGGCACCATAACATTTTCCATCTCATTCAGGATCTTTCTTGGCCACCCAGTATTCTCCAAAGTAACTTCCATCAATTTGCCTTACCCTTACCAGGCACTTCCAGCAATTGTTTCTTTTTCACTTGACCTCCTTCATTAATGATTAACAACTTGTTCACCATAGCAGAAGTTTTTAACCCAGGAAAAATAATTGATCTATCATCTCCAAATGTCGGTGGTGAAGACGAAACATCTCGAGCTCCTTCGATGATTGGACGTCCCAACGAACGTTGATCCTCTATCGGACCGCCGGCCGCAGGTGGCCGGTGACCGTTCGTCGTCATTGATTCGACGACGAAGCTGCGAAAATAGAAATTCAAATAACATAATTTTGAATTCTCAGACTCTCTCTCTCTCTCTGATTATATCAATCACTTACTCAATTAGTAATCTTGTTTGGATAGACTTATTTCATGTTAAAAAACTTTGAAAAAGAAAATCAATTTTTTAATTTTCTTCCACTTATGTTAGTCACTTGACTAGAATTTTTCATAAATTATGAGATCAGTTAAACCACAAAAAAAGTTTTTTTAGTATTTTTTTAAAATAAACAAAACATGTTCCCTTCCATCCTAAATACAGAAGTCAAGCACTTCCATGACAATAAGACTTTTTTTTGGGAAGATACAAAATTGCCAGTACTATTTTAGCTCATTGAATCTCAGATACCACTCTTTTCTTTATATTGAATTGTCCGTAGTAAGTTTCCTTTTTCATTCTATATGAAAAAATTGGAAGAAACTTACTTGCTTCTGGAAAAACTCCCACTCACAAGAGCACACCACTGAAGATTTCATGCATTAGGAAGCTATCCTACCAGAAAGTGAAATACCTTGAAGATGGTGAACCTTTCTATTGCCTGATGCGCCTTTATGATATCACACTGAATGGCTACTTTCCTCAAAAAGGGAAGGAGAGTAGAACTTTTGTTATACTCGACTTAAAGGAGAGGATGAGCTATACTATGGCTTTTCTTCACCTTGGATTTACGTGAAAGCATATGCATGGATCAATATCATCGATAACTGCTATTATGAGGAATCAGGTGATAAGTCTAGAGAGCTAGAGAATGACTGGGATGAAACCTTGTAAGGAGGATCCTTAACCAAGTTGTTTGGAGACTTTACGATTTGTGCTATCATTGGAGACAAGCAAGAGGATTACCCATGGAGACCTTGTTCTAATTTTTCCTGTATGCGCAGTCTTGGGCTACAAAGGAGAAATCGATATGCCGATCGGAGAAGAAGAGTTAGTGATATGAGTATGAGTACTAATACATATCTAACCATAACATAACCTAAAAGGTGGCTCAGTTGCCTAGAATGCCACATGTGTTGCCCCTCCCGATTTCATTGAGTCACCTTACGATGAGACCCTCACATCCTCTTTCTGGACTTCTCAATAGGTCTTTTTTTTTTTTTGGATAAAGTTCTCCTCCTATGTCCTATGGGTATGTCACGGGTCATTTCTCATCAAAATAGAATTGGGTTGGCATGGTTTTGTAATAGTGGCTTTTCTCTATCAATTATGATGAACGGTGTTTGAACTTCTTTTGAATCTTTCCTCTTGCTTTGCTCGAGCTATCGCCTCTCTCAAAAATTTAGAGAGGAGCCTCCAAAATTAAGAGTTTTCTTTTCAAAAAGGAGAGAGGGCAATATTGGTCTAAGTTCAGGGGCACCCTTGATCAAGCTTCCTCTCAGACTGAATAGAATCACCGATTGAGATTTGAAGCTCGTGATCTCCTCATCAGAGAGGAAAGTTTGTTATTCTCTTTTTAACCAAGTGCTTTCTTAGGATCCTACCTTGGTACTCTTAGAGATAGTTTAATGAGGTCTTACAACCTCCCCTAAACTCTTAAGTGGTATTAGAGAGGGCTTTGGAACTCACAATTTTAAAATCCCCAAGGTCTTATGGCTTATTTTAGTAATAGAAATAAATCAGAGGGTTATTTTATAACCTGTTTAACTTTGTTTAAAAATATTCCATTTAATTTTTGATAAATCTGCATGTTTACATTTATGCAAACTATTAATTTTAGAATTTGGCACATGATTCAAACTAGTTATTCCTGTCCATTATGTATAGTTAATGGAGTCAAAATTGAAGTCTCATTTACTAAATGGAGTAATGAGGATCTGAAGCTTGCTCAATTAAATGATAAATACTTGAATTATTTTTTTTTTGTATATTAAAATTTGAGGATTATATGAGAGTCTCTACATGTACAATATGGAAGGAAATATGGGATAGATTGTGCATCACATATGAAGGAACTAGTGAAGTCAAACAATTTAGGTTGAATATTTTACTGCATGACTATGAACTATGTTGCAGGAAACCTAGCTAGATAATTTTTGAAATATACACTAGATTCACTCAAATAGTTAAATCCATGCATGCTTTAGGTAGAGAACTAGCCAATTCTGAAAACGTTAAAAAAGCACTATGTTTCCTATCTAGTATTTATGATACTAAGGTCACTGCAATTTCTAAATCTAAAGATCTGAATGTGTATTCTATTGATAACTTGTTTGGCTCACTCGTTGCCTACAAGTAAGGTGTAAGTCAGAGATTACTGATGCAAAAGATAGAAAGAAGGAGAAAATTGTGGCTTTGAAAGCCAATGACTCGAATAATAATAACTCTTTAACTAAAGACAATGATGACATTGCATTGATGACTCCATTGTTCAAAAAATTTTTGAAAAGAAATCATAAGCATTATCAACAATGGAGATAAGGTAAAAGTAGTAAAAAATTTAAAGTGTCATCTGACATAATTTATTTTGAATGAAGGAAACTAGCCCATTTGTGAACTGACTGTCCAAATTTGAAAACTCATTCAATAAAGGATAAGGGTGAAGAGAAGGCAAAGTCTAAAAAGGGGAAGTAACAGACACAAAATACTTTTTAGGCAGACTCCACCTTATAATCATTTAAACAAGTAGAGGAGGTAACTAATATGTGTCTCATGGCTAATGATAATCTTCATCAATTTGATCAATATGAGGTATGTTAGCTATTCTATGATGAAATTTTTATTATATCAGAAAAAAAAATTAATGATTCATATAGGAAACTCAAGAAGATGTATGTTAGCCTGAGAGTTGAACATTCTATTCTACATATAAATCACATGTCTTTACTCGATGAGTTTGATGCATTAAATAAGAAGCATGCTGACTTAACTAATGCATATGAATCCTTGAAATTAAAGTATCTTGAGTTAGAATAATCATTAAAATATTTAGAAACATTTGTAACTGAACTATATCATAATGAGCGTGTATTGAAATTAGAATTTATAAGCTTTGAAAGTGCAAATGAATTCCTAAAAGCAAAATTCCATGCACTTCAACATAATAAACCACCATCTACACAATGGTATAACTCCACATCACTGCATACTAAAAGTTTGTGAGGGTTGTGAAATCCTAAATAACTAGTCCTGAGGCTAACCAAGAGGAGGGGGGTGAATTGGATGTTTAAGAACTTCTTTAACAAAAAGAAAATCTTTTTATAACTTTATGCGGAAGAGAATTACATTCACAATAAAAAGATAATTCAGAGATTTCACCCACAAAGTTATCACAAAAGTAAATGTGAAAAATAAAGTGCAAAAAAACAAAATCAAGAACAAACACACGAGATATTTATAGTGATTCGATCAACCTGACCTGCATCCACTCCCTAAAACCTCTTGTTCTAAATATTGGATTAAACCTTTAGTGACTCTTCTTTATATTCCACAGCTAGGCAGAGAAGCCCTTACAAAATCTCTTCCACCAACCCAGTGCAATGGCGTAGCCAAGTCCTTTGACACCAAAGATATCTTCTTCTTCCAAAAACTTCCCTCAAGATAAACCTTGAATCTGATGGTACTAAGGTTCAAACTTGCCAAAGAAATTGTGTGAACCCCCTCCACACTCCCTTGAAAGCCATAAGGATCTTCTCCCTCTCAAACTCCACCCTTTCTTCTCTCCCTTTCAAGGCTCTCACTTTAAGTTTTCTCTAGAAGAACAAAGACTCAATGCATGCCAAAGACACCTATAATTTATTTAGAGAAAGATCAAATAGAGGGCATTAAAAAATCCTAAAATATCAATTTTATCATCAAATATCATACAATATGATCTTGAGATCCTATATAATTAATTCAAAATAGCCCATTCAATTAGTACGATCATCATTGCCCTATACAATCAATTCAAGTATTTGAATAGATCATTTTATATGATTATTAGATCGTCCAAGATAATTAGTTTAACAAAGATGCAGTTCATCTAAGACAAATATTGGAACTACCAAAATTGTCTATGTTGATCATACAGTATGATCCAAATCAAACAGTACAATCAAAATATAAAAATTAAATAGATTTGATTAGCTAATCACAATATCAATTTAGGCATTATTGTCACAAATCATCCAGTACGATGTACGTCATCTTGAAGGATTAGAATAAAATATGAAATTCTAAATCTTGCCTAAATTATGATTAGCAGCTATTGTTTATGATTATAACTAATCATCCTGGATTATCTAAATCATCCAGTATGATTAGTTAAATGAGTTGATTGTACAACACGATATAAATCTTATAGTACGATTAGTTCAAAAATTAAACTTCTGGTTTTGATTCAATCTCACTCCCCATAAGTGTTTGTGTGCATGGTCACCAAGCTAGTATATACCCTTATAGGACTTGAATCAAGAAATCAAAATATAGCAATGAATATTACAAAAATCTTTATAGTATAACCTATTCTACCCAATCTTGAGCCTTAAATATTTATTGGATGTTTTATGATATTCCTGAAATATTAGTACACACATAAACAAATATATTTTATAAATATAAGTAGACATATGTATGTGAGCCATAATATTTGTTATCATCAAAAACATAAACTTGTGAGCTCGAGTTATAAGAATCTCGCCCTTTTTAATGATGGCAAACATTATAGATTGAATATGAAAAATTAAAAATATTTTCTTCTAATCTCCCCTTTACTAAGATAATTATATTAATAATATGGGAAATAAAAAAGGTTTCTTTTTTTTACAAAGAAATAAAGAAAAAGCTTTTAGACCCTAAATAATATATAAACTAATGCAAATACATTATGAATATATGCAATTTAAATATAAATACAACCTACCAAATATATTCTCCCCCTTTGACATTATCAAAAAGAAGAGAAACACATAAAAAAATGGAATACACATACCTAGCTAAAACCATACAGACACTGATCAGGTATAGGTGGTGGTGATGATTAAGAAGAATCAATTAATTTC